CAATACCTTGTGATCTCAGTGAAGTGGCCCAGCAACAAAGGAGTCAATGAAGCTAACAAACGTCTTGCATGTTGCAGTCCTGGCAACTCTGTGTACCCGAGATGCACCCACCTGGGCTCAGGGCTCGGACTATCAAGACATGTATCCCTAACCTGGGCAAAGCTAAGCAGGGAAACTCACACTCCAGATGAGCTGCACGAAGAAAGGCATATGCACTCTTCAGGCAAACTTTCAAGTCATCTGCAGGGACGATGCCTGCCAGTTGTACAGAGGGCCTCTTGGTAGCAATCCTTGTTTTGTAGTGCTTCCTCTTCTGGGGCTTCGAAGGCTTGCCGTCCTCGCTGGACTGCAGGTCCAACTCATCAGATTCGGGCTCAGAAGTTGATTCGCAAGCCTGATCTGCATGGCCGGGCTCAGAAGTACCTTCTGGATCACTGGTCACCTCATCTGGGCCCACATTTTCATGAGGTGCAGAGCTTGTGGAGGAGCTCCTTCTCCGTTTCTTCGCCACTCTGACAGCTGAGGAGGACTGCCCCTCCCTCTCATGTTCATGAGGTGCAGGGCTGGTGGAGGAGCTCCTTCTCCTTCTCTTCGCCATTCTGACAGCCGAGGAGGACTGCACCTTCCTCTCACATTCATGAGGTGCAGGGCTGGTGGAGGAGCTCCTTCTCCTTCTCTTCGCCATTCTGACAGCCGAGGAGGACTGCAGCTTCCTCTTATTGCTCTGCTTCTCTTCGCGGTCTGATACCATTGCAGACCTGCTAAAAATCCAGAGGATGTCTCGGTCGGCTGCAGCCCGATCAAGCTGATGAAGCTGGGTCGAGTACTTTTGTAGCTCGTTCACATAAGGGGCCGCCTTCTCGTAGCAGCCTCAATGAGTGCAGGGTAGTTGCGGTGTGTGTGTGGGGCATGGAAAGCTTCACTTCTTATCATGCCGAGAAGGCTCTGTGCTTGCAATGTAAGCATTGCTTCTGCAGCTTCCGGCATGTCTGCAAAGATGCAGAGAACTTGTTTGCGAAACTCATCATGGCTACCGGTGTCTCCGATAGGACTCATGAGGAGTAAGTTCATGCTCCTAGCATTCTACTTTCCTTCGGCAAGTCCTGGTGGATTTATAGGGTTTAGGTCTTCGGGTTGAGGCTCGGGTAAGTGGTTTCTGTGGTGCGTCATCTTTTCACACTCGCAATTTTGGACCACTGTGGGGCTAAACGGGTTCATGTCTATCAGGCTCCTGCTGTGCACTGCTTGAGAAACGAAGCTGCGCAGGCAGCAAGCAGTGGACATGCTCGTGAACAATCTCCATTCCTGCTTTCTTCAATCAAACAATGCTGCTCTCAAAGCAAGCTGTACGCACCTGGTCCAACTGAAGCATGCCGCCGCTGCAGCCTGTATCGAAAATGCACGTTCTGAGGAACATTAGTTCATTTGCCTAGTGCCTCTCGATTCCCTCTGACTGGTGATTCCGACAAGGTCTCTTCAGTTTTGCTTCACGAAGATGTGATCTGTAGACCCTTGATCCTGTGTAAGCTCTGCGTTTAGCATTCGGCACACTTGCAATTGCAATGGCTCTGCTTTTCCGGATTGAACAGCAACTCAAAGCAGCTGATTGGCTATTGCAGGATGTGCACCAGAATGGAAACCAATACACTGGCAGCCACATTGGCTGTGAAACCATTGCCAGCGAGCTCTTGGGCCTGCTTGACTGTAAGATCTGTCAGGCCTGCCGCTTTGAGCTCACGGCTTGACAGGCCTTGCAGGCTCATCACAAACGTCGGAGACTTGTTCAGGTGCAGCCCATTCTCGTCCAAGTACAAAACCCGCTTCTGCGGAAGAAGGCATGGGTGCACTGTTCTCCATTTGTGTCGTTGCAAAGTGTCTCCGCTGGGGACGACGAACCTGGGCCGCTGCTGCCAACTATATGTCAACTTCACCCAGCGATCAGCAACCCCTTCAAGCTGCCAAAATGAATGCAAGACGCAGGAGAGACTGGTCGATGTCCTTGGTTTGTCACACCGGACCAGTCAAGGAGGTCATACATTGACACCGAATGGTTTACAACCTTTTGCAGAGCAAGATTCATGGCCCCATGTCTTGCGCAGCTTGGCAAAGGACAGATGGGTTGCTTCCAATTCTCTTTCTGGCAAATCCAGCTCCTGCAAGCCTTGTGCAAGCAGAAGGCCTTCAATCTGAGGTTCAAGAACCACCCGAATGCTGAGGCCGGAACACTGATGCACCCATCTGACCTGTGGAACTTGTAGATCCTTTTCTGTGATGTTGTGCTTCTCCTTGTAAGCTGCATGGTCTGCAGGCCATTTCTGAGAAGATGCTGCCCTGCCGGTTGCCATCTGTCGTTTCCGAAGTTCCTGCACACTAGCAAATTGGAACAGAAACATGTATCCCACACTGACTGCCCAAGCAATATGCTTGTTCAGCTAGGCTGCTTGCTTATCAGTAGCTCTCTGCCACAAATCCACCAAAGGCTCGTGCCATTGCACTTGACACCGTCTGACTAGTCGCCACGCTGACGAGAGCTTCTCTCCAGCTTTCCGCTCAGCCCCCGGAGCCTGGGATCTCAAGGTGGTCAATGAAAGAACAAGCTGGCCTGTTTCATTGATTTGCATTCTGCAGGCCAAGTTGCCGCCAGGTCCAATTTCAAGCTGATTCCATAGACCCTGTTCCTGCTATGTGGCAAAGCAAAATGTTTCGAGTTGACCACCTCAAGGGCAGGCCACTGAAGCAAACATGAGCTGCAAGCCTCAACTTGTTGCACAAATGATTCTGGAAAAGCTGCCTGGAAGCTCGACACATACCCCTGCTTGCGCATGAGGTCCTTGATGACTTCTGTTCCCTTTTCATTCACAGTCTTCCTGTGAGCGTCCAAGTTTTTCACACATTCCCACATGATGCCAACTGGTCTCTGGGACCATTCCAAGCGTTGGATGAACTCAAGGAATTGAAGAAAGCTGCTTCCACTGTGCCCCTTAGCATCTAGAATGCTTTTCGGCGAAGAGGTCTGGCACGAGATATCATCACACTCCACACCGACAATGGCCAGGGAAAGTGCTGGCATGGATTCTCTGGGCACTGCCTGCAGTTCGGATGTGGCCCCATACACCTTGGTAGGCCACTAACCATCTGACAATAATCATATCACCCTGCTCGTGATTGGTGAACTTTGCAAATCAACCAAGAGCCCTAAAGAGCATCCCACATCCTGCCAAGATTCGGGAATGTGTTCCCACTCGTGCCCCTGTGCTGCCAACATATTCTGCAGCACATCGCGCTTCCACTTGACAAGCTCGGTGTAAAAACAAGGTTTTGGGATGACCGATACATCATGATCCTGCTGCAAAACTTTGCGCAGAATCTCCTCGGGTCAAGCTGCAACATACATCAAAGACGAAGAGCATCTGCAACTAAACACACAGCGACGATGCAAAACGAGCAACCAATGACTGGGAACCGGTACCCATTCCAGCACAGAATTCTGCAAAATGTACTTCTCTGGATCTCAACTTCCGCAGCTCTGCAGTGGAGAGGACATTGCCGAGCACGTAGCTCAGGAAATCAGTGCAGCATGAACTTCTGAAGCCGGGATTGGGCTGGCCAGTCTCTTCACAGTCTGAGCTTGAGTGAGGTGCAGCAGCCTTTCGTTTCTTCTTCTGCCTCTCTGCCCAATCCTTCTCTGCTTTCTCAATGCGAATGGTTTCTGGGCTATCCTCAGGTTCTGTTGTTACTTCTGAGGCTGCTTCGTCTCCGGTAAGCTGTCTGTGTCCTGACTGGTACAGCAGGTATGCCACTGTAAGGCTGCAACATGACGACATGCAAGTCCTGGCTGGATCTTGGAACTTGATGCTCTGGACCTCCTTTGTCCTGGTGGCTCGCATCTGAGACACTGTAAGAGCTTTGGTTGGCGGCCAAAGCTCAGCTGGAGTCCTTTGGCCCTTGAAGCAGTCTCTTGCACTGCAGGCTCTGAGGTTGATTCATCGGACATGGCGATTCCCGGTGCAGAGGCAGGCTTTCACAGCTCTCGGGAAATTCTCTGATGTCTTGGATCTAGGGAACCGACAGAGCTAGATGCTTATGAAGCTCCTGCCATGAGCTGCTTGAGCAACCTGAAGCATGACACTGCAGCTCTAGTCGGAAATGCATGCGATTTGAACATACTGATAATTTGCCGCACTCAGAACCGTGATAGCTCAAAGCCATGCCCGACACAACCACAAGGCATGATCGAAGCAGAAATCATCAGTGGCGTCAAGCAGTGGCAAGCAGCCCCAACTTGCCCTCATCGGAAGAAATGCAAGCACTGCAATGCATGTGATGTTTCAAAGCATTCACACCGAATCTAAAAGAAACCTTGGCAAGGTAAGCTACCGGCATTTCCGAAGCAGAGCACCTGGCAGGATAAAAGCAAGACGACAGACAGTCATGTGTGCACTCGATCAAATGCAGCCTTGCCATGCACGCAGATTACGAAAGGTTCTTCAAAGCTCCACATGGATCTCTCTACAGCACTCAAACACATCTTGTAAACCTGGACGATGCAAACAGCTTTTTGCCTGTAAAGATCTGCTCGGGTTCTGCCCAGTGTCTGTTGCAAGCCCCCTGCCCCCTGCCCTGATGAGCTGACCCCTACCTACATGCATGCTGTAAGAGAGCTGGGGTTCTGCAGCACTGGTGGTCTCTGCTGAGTGGTGACCGCTGTCTTAAATCGTCCTGTGTCAAAATGGACTGTGTGTCAAAATTGCCTGCTGCGGAGCTGCAGAGAAAGAAGCCTGGCCAGGCTAAACACATAGGTAAAGTCACAGAGACTAAGCTTTTGCTCATATCACTGGGCTTGAACTGACCCAAGCCACAGCCATGACTTCATACAGCTCGGGAGGTCCGAACAGCTTCAAGAAGTCAGTCCATGGGTAGGCTCTGGACTAGCCTGTTCGGGAGGCCTAAGATATGTCAGAATCTCAATGTGAAGCTCTGGAGTTGTCCATAGAACCTGCTCATGAGCTTTCTTCTGCAAGCTTGATGTACTTGCCATTCTGCAAGCGCACCGACTGATCCAAAATCATCATCGGCTTTTTTGCCGTCAGCTTGGTGTGCACCGGATCAAAAGAGAACTTCCAGGCCCAAACAACATTGGAGCTCAGGCGGCACCCCTTCAGGACGAGCTCTCTGGCCTGGGCACACAACAGGAAGAGAAACAGGACTGAAGCAGCATTCCACAGAGTCATGTGAAAAAACCCCACTGCCAGTGCAACAACGGAACCATGTTCCCGGGAGTGAGCTTCTTCTCGTCCTTGTCGCGAAGGATGTAGTACCAGTCATCGGATTTGGTAAGTGCAAATCCGTGCGTCCCACCAGATCCGGCCGCCTTGGTCCCGATCTTGTAGCCCGTGCAGGACAACTCCTTGCTGGCACCACTCTTGTGCAGCTCTTTGACCACCTGGTAGAGGCTGGAACGGTGCTCCGTGCCTCGCTTGACCCCCTCCTCGCCGTCCTCCACACCATGGGACACATCCACCCATGTCTTGTCCCCCTGGGGCATCTCCAGCTGAATGCAAGGATCGGCCTTCTGCTGGCTCATGCGGCCGCCGCCCACTCCAGCGATGCGGAAGCCTCGAGGCAGGTTCACGTCCAAGGTCGCCTTCAGATAGTAGCACTTGTCCTTCTTGACAATCATCACCTTGGCATTGTCGAAGCTCTTTACCTCCAGCTCTGGCCCCTCAAGCGGGACTGACAGCACCTCGAACTTCGCTGCCGGGTCTGCTGGGGCTCCACCTGGGTGGTTATCAAAATTAGGGTCCCTTTTTTGGGCACCTTAAATAATAGGTGCCGTACTACATTAGGGACCCAAAAAGAGACCCTAATTTGGACAAAGGTGCCACCTCCAACATCAGCCCCATCCGTCGGCCGTGGGTCCTCACTTGTCGCCTCCTCCCCACTTGGGGTCGTTTTGACCTCGAAGCAGCTGAGAGCATTGGCCCAAAGCTGCTGATGCTCCTCCTCAAGGATCTTGATCTCCTTTGGACACAGTGACACTGAGTACTTTGCTGGCAGGATGCCCTAAAGTGCAGCAAAGTGTCGCCCCGGACACTTGGAGGGCTTGTCTGGAACTCTGCCAC